GAGCCCAAACCAAGACCCCCTGCCACCCTCTCTCGTCCGCTCTGTGGCAGCCGTCACCTCCCAGCCATCTGTCACCATGGTAACCATGATGCCAGGCAGCAGCGGTGTGGGCGATGATGACGGTCTCCTTGCAGGAAAGTCCACCGCCATCCCCTACATCCCTGCCCAACAACAGGCTTCCAGCACCACAAACAGCCACCTGGAGAGGGCGCTGAGGTATTTGCCCATGACCCAGAGTGGTGACCCAGGCCAGTGTGAGCCTGAGCTCAACTCCTCCCCTCTCCTCCCTGACAGCCGAGAGAGAGTGGGTGCTCCTCCTGCTCCCACATCTTCTGTTGGTCACAGGCAGCAGGGAGAGGCGGAGGAGGAGCGGCAGGAGGAGGAGGGCAGGGGGAGACAGCAGGGAGGAGCCAGAGAAGAGAGCCGAGGTGACAGCATTAAGGGGAAGCTGCACTCCCCCGACAGGGACCAGGACGGTAGGCAGCACCCCCTGCCACAGCACTCTGCCGAGCCGTCTTTGTGGAGGGGCGAGTCAGAGCCTCTGCCCGGCTGGAGATCTGCAGACAGAGACTCTCAGGAGAGTAGGGAGAGAGCAGAGGAAGGAGGAAGAGGAGAAGGAGGCTACCCGAAAGAGGCAGCAACAGATCACAGGTCCTTCACACAGGAGCAGGAGAGGAGCAGTGGCCAGAGCCAAGCAAGCATCTCAGGTAGGAGGCTACGGTGATGACTTCAAAAAGAGATGGAGAGGAGCAGGGGAAAGAACACCAAAAGGGAACAAGTAGAGACTGGTGTGAAAATGAAAATGGAGTGGACAGTGAAAGGCAGGGACAAAAAACTGAAATGTCTAGGGATGGGGCTGTTCTCATTATCTTCAGTCTTATACAGCACGCTCCTACGCATGATTGCTCTCTACCGACTGCACACACTTGGCCCAGCTGGGGGTGTTTGATTTGGCTGATACAGATAGAGAGAGAATATATGTGTGTAGGAGAAAGAGAGAGACGTCTGAAGCTATCTAATTAGCATATTTTTCCATGCATTTGCCTCGTGGCTCCCTTTGTCTAGAAAGAGGAAACCCTTTCCTCACATGCTTTTTGTCAGCTAACACACACCAGTGATTTTTAGGATGATCTTGTGTGCGCTCAGTGTCACGGTGTATGAAAGGGCTGTGGTCCCATTGCACCATATTACGCCTGTGGCTTAGCTGTGCATGTAATGGGCCTGACCTGTTTTTATGTGCTAATGCAGAATGTGTCCAAGGGTGTGTTTTCGCATGCATGGACACAAACAGTACACAGAGAGATGAAGGTAATCAGTGAGAGTGCAGAAGAATTGGCCAGCACTTACATAAAGCAGGTAGGACACAATAGAAGCCTTGTCTGCAGGCTGTATTCTTATTTAGTTCTGCATGAACAGAACAAAAGTTTAGTATGATATACTATGGAATCACAAGGTTAGAATGACTTGCACTGATTTACACTAATTATCTGAGGTCTTGTCAGTAGATGCCTAACACCAGCCCCTACCTGGACCTCAACAGAAGACAACTATAGTATATTCTTTATGCCTTTCTTTCAGATTTGCCTGACCATCCTGCACCACTGAGGCCACTGACAGCTAAAGTCTCATCTAGGACAGTGTCTCACGTGTCAAGCAGCCAGCAGCAGCAGCAGTCCGTCATCCAGCCTCCTCAAACTCTTCCTAAACCCTTCACGCAGCAGCTTCCTCCAACCCAACCCAAACCTTCTTCCTACATCCAGCCCCAGCTGCACTCTCAGTTCTCCCAGCCGCCACCAACATATCCAAAACCTTTCACCCAGCCCCCCCAGACCCAGCCCAAACCTCAGGGATTCATCCAGGCCCTCCCTAAATTTTACCCACAGACCACTTCTCAGCCTCAGCCTAAAACCCAGGTGCCTCCACAGATAGCACCCAAACCTCAGTCTTTCCCCCAGGCACTGGTTAAGTCCCAGTCCCAGCCCCTGGACCACAGCGAGGACTTCAGCAGGCACAGTGTCCATTCTGGAGATCTACTGTCCCCCTCAGAGCCTGGAGAGCGACTGTCTGACGGCATGTCCACCAAACAGATGTCCATTAAGGAGCGGTGAGTGGTGGATGGAGGGTGGAAAGAATCAGGAAACAGTCTGCCCTTCCTTACAATAAGTAGGTTAGCTCCACCCTTTTTACATTTTTTAGAGGTGTGAGAGATTTATTTTTAGCATCGCTGTGTTTGTCCTCCTAGTAGCAGAGCTGCATGAACTGGAGAAGTCCTCTGAGATTTATCAGATTCCTCCTGTTGCCCTAATTTCTGCCCTGTCCACATTTGAGCTGGAGAGATGATGACACACTTTCTTTTGCCTCTCAGCCATCAGGCAGTCGTTAGAGACCTGTTTTTGTGGTCACATTTGCTGGCTGCACAGCACACCTGTTTCTTTTTTGTTTGTTTGTTTTGTTTTTACCCCTGAAGGTTTTTTTTTTTACTGTTTGCACTTGTTCATAACTCTTTGGTTTTACTCTAGATTTACATAAGCTGATAGCATCATGTTTGGTACTTAAAAACACTTTTGATAGTATAGGTGCTACGGAGAAGAATAAACCTCCACACTGAATCACACAGGATGTATAAAACAGGGAGGGTAAGAGTTGTTATTCTTAAGAGCAGATACTTGTCTGTTGTTCTTATTAACAATTACGTATTTGTCTTATGTCAGAGTGGCATTGTTGAAGAAGAGTGGTGAGGAAGAATGGAGGAACCGCATCAATAAGAAACAGGAAGTGGTTAAAGTGGTGTCTACCGAGCAGCAGGCTCCTCTATGGGACACAGAGCAGACCTACCACAAGAAGGTCAGTCTCCACAACAAGTAAATTGTCAAACTGGACTTTTCCTATAATCCTCCATGGTCCTAGCTAAAACGGCAGTTTTCTAAAATCTCTGCAGTACAGCTGGCGAGTCACATATTAACATAATCAGTAAAAAAAAAAAAAAATTGCCAAAACAATGGAGATGAAACCCAGATTGTAGCGTTGGCTGTACAATCATGCAGTGATCTCATTGCAGGCTTGTGTTATAAATTTTGAATGTCCCTGAATAAAAATGCATATATCTCTCACACATATTATGCTTTTAAGTGTTATGGTTGAACAGAGTAAACACCTGTGCCACATGTCATCCCCCATCCTTCATGCTGCCATGCCAGCTCCTGCCCCCCACCTTTTTTTTTTAGCTAATTGCTCCGTTCATTTTCCCTTTTAGTCCATCTGTGCTGGAGCCCAGTGGTGCAGCTCAGTGCCACAGCGAACCCTCACTGACTTTAAACACAAATAAATAATGGGAAATGAGGAACTGTAGAATTAGCAGTTTGGAATATTGGGGAGAAATTCTTTTTCTACAGAATCACATCTGGCCTCATGCTGAGTTTTATTTAAACCTGAAGCAATGATGACTTTTAAAGCTTATTTCATTTCTTATCTGCATTTACATTAATCTGTGTAGCTCATTATGGTTCCAAATCTCATTTACAAGAGAGACCTGGTCAAGACAACAGCAACAACAAAGAGTATAAACAGCATGTAGAGTTATATTTAGAAGCTCAAAGAACCACAGATTTCAGGATTTAGGATTGTTTTTCTCCTGCAGCTCACAGCTCTCCATTAGTATTCCGCAGGGCCAAACTGCCTGCCTAAACCACGGATAGTAAACCTACAGGCCCTGAAACCCATTACAGCAACAATGGCCGCCCCCTCCCTCTGACCAAGCACTTCCCCTGTTTTTAACCCCTCAGGAGGAAGGGGTAGTCGTTCAAGACCGCTCTGCTGTGTCTGTGTCTGAACAGCTGTGGGTAAGACCCGCTGGCAGCCGTGCACCAACACAGCTTTGTGTGTAGTCCAGTCACAGCTTTGTGTGGATGTTGTGTGAGGCTGTTTGCTTCTTTCCGGTGCTCTTTACTGGCAATCTGTATTGCTACTCTCTGAAGCAGTGGGATGGTCAACTCTGGGGCTTTCTGAACTTCTGCTGAGTCTGTCTTAAAGGGGCATTGAGTCAGTCATTGGTAAAGTTGAACCCTAATCTGGCTCACTTTTCAACTAAATGTCAAATATCTCCAGACACCGCATCACATTCAAAGTCAAAATAAACTTTTCTACCTAAGAAAGTCCTGTAACATTTTCTGACAAAGGTTTCATTAATTTGTTATGTCTGAGGACAAAATGTCTTCAAGTAAAAAAATAAACTAACAAAAAAAAACCCCAGCAGTTTCAAAACCATATGTGCAGGCCAAAATGTACATATTTGAGAGAGAGGGGCTTCCTGCCAATTCGTTAAGTCATTTACACTGTAGTGTAAATCAGTGGTTCTTAACCTAGAGGGCATAAGATACAATAAACCTGCAGGGACATGAAATAATTAACAAATTAGTGAAGAAGAACAAACTTCTCAAGCTTCTAAAACTTATTGAAATTCAAATTAAGGTCCCCTCCAGTAAAAAAAAAATGCATACAAGCATGATTTTGTGTCACACCTAGCCAGTCTGCTAGCTCCTCGCGGTCAAGTTTGGGGCGACCAAAAAATGGCCGGACTTATCCTTTAAAGGTTGTCACATGCCATAAACTGACTCTCACTTAATGCACCTTTAAGCTTTAAGCTATGTTTTCATTGCCCCAATATCTTCATTGCTAGAGAGAAAGTGACTTTTGCAGTTTGATGCTTTATTACTAACAAGTTTCCCAGTTTGCATTTTAGTGATCATTTAATGATTTTAAGTTCAGTATTTATGATTTCAATTTTCTTTTTCTTTTGTAATCTCTTAAAGATACAAAAACAATTAGATGCATCTGTTGTGCATGTGAGTTTCAGAGCCATCTTTAAGTTTAATAATGAAGTTGGATTATCATTACTTTTATTCAAATTACTGTTGCAGACAAGGTTTTTGGATTAGCTCCATAAAATGAAGGGCAGAGAGAACTTCATGTTGCTTTTACAGTTCCTGGCCTTCTCTTCTTTGCTTCCACCCTTCATCCTTCTTTAAATGCATGATCTTTGATTTTCATTCTATTACCTCTTTTCTTTTCCTTCCTTCCTCTTACCCATTCACCTCTACATCTTCCAGGAGCCTGTCTTCTCTTCCACCTATTCTCCTCCTATCTCCCTTGGCCAAAAGTGTCAGTATATTGACCATCACAGTCAGGTAAGGGCATGCACCCGGCACACTCAAATGGGCTGCATGTACTGGAGCCTCAGCTTTCTTGCTTAGTTTGCAGTGACTCGGATGAAGGGGGCTTTCTGATTTGTGGAGACTGATTTGGCTACATCAGCACGAGTCCAAGTTAATGTACAGCTATTGTTTCTACTGTGGAGCAGTGATGATGATGTCGCCTAGGAAGGACATGCATTTAGCACGCGTGAATGCATCAGATCTTTTTATATCTGCTTGGTTTGATGCATCACGTGAATAAATGCTCCAGAGGGGAAAGAGGAGTCATCGTAAGTTATAGTGAAGTTGTGTAAGAACTAGTTCTTTTAGTGTTATATACTTTAGTACACAAAGTGTTGTCTGGACACTTCAACTCTAACATAAGTGAAAGCTGACCATCACCGTTTATCGCTTTGTATTTCAAGACTTGGCATGTTAATAATCACTGGTAATGTGTCTGATTCCATCTTGCCTGAGCAGAAGATGGGAGAGGAGATTGAGGCCCAGATGACCATTGAGGAGAGGAAGCAGATGATTTCGACTCGTGAGAATGCCTGGAAGACAAAGGGCAAAGGAGCAGCCAATGACTCTACCCAGTACACAGTCGCTGCACGTATGATCAAGAAAGGTCAGTGCACAGTCTGGCTGTTCTCTATCCATCCCCACTGAAACGCCGCTGGGTGTGATTTGTCTGGTAAAATCCAATCTGAATCTGGGCTACAACCACAAAGCAGTGTTGCAGTTTCCCTATATGTATGTGGTTTTCTCATAACTTGACATTGCCTTTAGTGGTACGATTCTGTGTAGTGGACTAAAGTACAGACGGGTGACAAATGAAAGGAAAAACAAACATGCTATAGGTGAATCCCATGTCCCCAAATTACATCCACTTCTCCCTCACTTCTCCTTGCAGCCTGTGTGGGTGGGACTAAGATGCAAGGAGAAACTGTGAGGAGAGAGGAACCAAGGAAACATGTTTTAACTGACATGAGACATACTTCCCTTTGATCCTTCATGTGAAGTGTCCAATCACAAATTGATTGCCGATAAAGGGGCGTGCCAATCTGTAACAGACTTACACAAAGGATTCACTTGTGCATCTTTGGTTATAGCTTCTCCAGGCAGCCTCCTTGCTCCTTGGTCCTCGCTCCACAGAACAGAAATCAGAGCTTTGGGACATTCTTCATCACGGTGGACTGGAACTACTTCTGGGTTGAGCGAGGATTGAGGACAGAGGGAATGATAAAATAGATGCCACCACGTGCCACTAGAACAGCTGCGGTGCTCCTTGATATTGAATCTCTAAGTCTCTGAGCTCTACTTCCAAAAGATGCTCCCTCATGTGGTGTTTTAATGATGTTGGTGGAGATGTGTCTAACACATCGCTCTTAAATCTCCCATAGGTGTCCCCATAGCTCTGAGAATTTTAGATGCTTTTTTTTAAAACAGTGGTGAACTTAATATGTTGTGTTAGGGAATGAAACAAGACAAAATTATCACTGTAATTTGAAATATGTGATATTAATTATATCAATAAAACTAGGTCAAATACAGTGGTATAAGTGAGGGGTTCAGAGTCTTTCCACAGCGTCACACCTTTTGTTCTATTTCTGTGTCTGCAGGCCTGGCAGCATCCTCCTCAGTTATCAGTCCCATCCTGTCACCAGTGTCCTCCAAACTCAAGAGCAGCACACCTGCCGTCAGCAAACCACAAGAGGGTGAGACAGATCTGCAAGTCCCGTGTCATCACTGGCCCCTCAGCTAAATAAATCCAACCAGAGTTTATCAACCAGTGTAATGGGTTAATAATTTACTAAGCGTGACCAACAGCTGGGTAAAGAGAGTTTATTCTTAAATGTCACCACTGTTTGAATGATTTCATCTCCAGAGATTGAGGCCAGGCCGGACATGGAATCAGACAAGAAACTGGACAAGTTGGAGAACTTTCTGGGACGTCTGAATAGCAAAGGTATGTTTTCTGTCATTGTCACCTGCAGCAGGCCTCTAAAGAATAGGTAACATTTTAGTTTCTGTTCAGCGAGGGCCCTGTTTGTCTCCATTTTCTATATTGATTTGCTTATTGCAAACAGGCCTAATCTTGTCTCTGGTGTATTTTTCTTTGCTGTTCAGTGGCAGGTCTGCAGGAAACCACCATAACAGTGACAGAGAAGGCAGTGAAGGAAGTGATGAAACTGGATGACGAGATCTTCTCCAAGTTTTACAGACACGTCTCCGAATTCCCACGCATGCCCACCAGGATAGAGATCAGTGAGGACTTTGACAGTATCTTCGGCTCCCAGGGTCCCAAGTAAGAAAACTGCAAATCCTCTAATGATGGCTGTAGTGAAGGACTGTATGACACATCTTCATTCATGTATTTGATAGATGTGGAAAACGAAATCTGTCCATAACAACATCTAAAGATATTGTCAGAGTATTTAGGTTAGTTTAGGTTAGGTTAAGCAAGTAATCATCCCATTATCTACAGTATTTGCAATAATGATAATAATAATGATAATAATACAAGGACAGTAATTAGTTTCTTGTAATTATTTGCCATTTCCCTCATACACCTGCTTTTCTTCCTCACCAGACTGACTTCAGCCATGGTGCAGCACAAGCGCTCGGTACGTCCATCCAGGAATGTCCAGGCATCTCGAAACCCTCTGAAGATGCTGGCAGCCAGGGAGGACATCAGACACGAGTACACCGAGCAGAGACTGAATGTGGCTCAGCTGGAGAGCAAGAGAATGAAGGCTGAGAAGAGTGAGTTGGTTTGGTGTCTGTGTTTCTACGAGAAAAAGAAACAGTCTGCGCTAGAGTGGACTTAGTATGTGTGTGGTTAGAAATCTCAGTGGAGAAGTGGAAACACGGTTGTTGTTTATGTTGGACAAAATTGCAGCCATCTCCACATTTTTGTTTCACTAGCTAGGCCCACGCCTCGAGGAGGATGGAGTGCAGGATATGAGAGGAGGTGTGAGATGCTGTAGAATGGAGGAGGATGAGACATGGTCTTGCTCCTGAGTTTCCAATCTGCATCTACATTTATTGCTATTTTAAAGTTTAACAATGCACTTATGTTACTTTCTACCCCCAGTAGGTTCATTTTTTTTTTTTTTTTACTCTCTCATTCCAGCGAATAAAACCTCAGAGTACTCTGAAGCCGCTCTGGCAGGTCTGGCCAGTAAAGAAAATTTCAACAGTGTGAATCTGCGCAGTGTCAACATCTCAGAGCAGGTGTCCAACAACAGCGCTGTGCCATACAAAAACCTCATGCTGATGCAGATCAAAGGTAAAACCCCCTTTCTGACTGTGGTCGGTTTCACCTGTATGACCCCTGCCACCATCTTTTGAAGTCTGTTTTTACGTTTCAGTTTTTGTGGGGATTAAACAGACAAATCCTGTTGTCTTTGGCCCGAATGAAGCTGGTGGTTTCACCCTATTTTTGGTCTTTGCACTATGTCGAGCTGAGTGATGGAAGAAGTGCTTTAAATCTTTATTTAAGAAGTAAAAGAAGCAATACCACAGTGTAGAAATACCCCATTATACAAAAATGTCATGCATAAAATGTTACTTCAGTAAAAGTACAAAAGTATTAGCATCAAAATGGACTTCATGCCAAAAGTAAAGTACACATTTTGCAGAATGATCCATTAATAACTAGAATTAACACTTTGCAGTTGTATGCCTTTGCCCACCGATCGAAATTCACAGGTATAGCACAGAAGTGAGGACACTGGCCTTGACCTTTTACCACCAAAGACACTGGCGCAAAACAAGCAAAGGAAGGCGTGGCTGGGTCTGCAAGGCATAGACACATGTCTGCTCAATGTAAGATGAGCACAACAAAATAAAAGCATGAAACAGGAAATGTAGACAATTTAAGTATAGTACCTGACTACGTGTACAGTACACTGGCTATAGCTTCTGCCATATAAGAGTGGATCTTCTCATCTAACCCACTGCCAGAAAGCAAATCAGCAGTTTCCCAAACCGTCAGACTATAAACCAACTTTTTTGATTCAACAGGACTGATGCTCTGAGGTTTAACTTAGCAGATTTAAAAAGACTTTATTCTTTACAGGTCGCCGTCACGTGCAGACCAGATTGGTGGAGCCCAGAATGTCTTCACTGAACAGCGGAGACTGTTTCCTGTTGGTCGCTCCAGAGCACTGCTTTGTTTGGATAGGAGAGTTCTCAAATGTCATAGAGAAGGCTAAGGTGAGCACTGTACCTGTATTATAACATATGATATTCTGTGTAAGATGCCGAGATTCAAGGCTACTGCTGGGATATTAGCATCTGAAGAGAGACGATTCATTGATGATTCTGCCTCTGATTTCCATTCCCTGCAAAGCAAGTCTGTCTAGATGCTTTCTAATAAACACGTTTTTGCGCTCCACCTCTTGCTTCACTGCTGTTTACTCGTTTTATTATAGTTTAATGCACAAACTGCCCAATAATATCTCTTCACAGCAACATTCTTTTGTCTTCTATATTTGACCCAGTTGTTAAGAACTGAGCTTAAAATTCAAGAATACGTGAGGATGGAACACTGAGTACTTTATTTTCATCTGTCATCATTAAAGGCTGAAAATAGATTTTGTTTTTTTGCATGTAGGCAATAGATTTAGCCACTTTCATCCAGACAAAGAAGGACATGGGCTGCAGAGCAAACCACGTGCAGACCATCGAGGAAGGGGTTAATCCACAGGGTCCAGATACCCAGCAGTTCTGGATGATCCTGGGAGGCCAGACGCCTTATCAGTGTAAGAAATTAACTCTTAAAAATCGAATTTGACAGAAGTTTGCAGTTGTCGCTATCCAAATTGTTTGAAGGTTGTTATTGAGAACATTGTTCTCACTGAGAGCTTCTTTTGGATGCATGCACACACTGATATATGACGTGTTGATGTTAACTGTGCTCTAGCCGCTGGTCCACCGGAGGAGGATGAGCAGTTTGAGAATGCCATCGTGGAAACCAACTGTATTTTCAGGCTAGTGGATGACAAACTGGTTCCTGATGATGATGAGTGGGGGAAGGTCCCTCACACCTCTCTGCTGACATCCAAAGAGGTCAGTGGGACCTTCATGTGTGTCTACCGTGTTTCAGCTGAAAGCTAGAGATACGGTTTATGTTGTGTGGATTTGACAAATCCAGCTTTATACCACTGCCAGTTCACCAGCAATGTTCAGTTTTAATTTTAGAGACAACTTGGCTCAGTCTAGCCAAAGAAGAAGTGCCCCATTAGATCAGAATGCACCACAGCAGACGTGTTGATTCCTAATATGTAGCCAAGTATGTGTTAGAGTGTCTGCTGGTGGAGTTTTCCTCTCTGCCACCAACCTGTGAATGTTAAAATATTTCAGTGTTTTCAGAGGGTATTTGTACTGCGAGCTGGTTTTAATTTGTTGCTTAGCAACAGTGGGTGTTGTGAGGAGCACCTCCAGCATCCATCTGTGTTCTGCTGCTGCTGCTGGTTTGGGCATGCTGGGAGTGCACTGCTGCTGCTGCGGCCTATTCTGTGTATAAATGATGAAGTATCACATTTATTGTATTAACTTTTCGTTGGTTAGCTGAGATTTGCATGCTGTGGATTTGTCTTTCATTTTTATGTAAGATGCTTGTAGCTCGTAGTTCAGTAAAACTTAAACAAATGTACAAGATTGATTAACTGGACTTTGTTCCCATTGTTTTTATTGTTGTGCTGTGCACGCTGCAGGTGTTGGTGTTTGACTTTGGTAGCGAGGTATACGTGTGGCACGGCAAAGAGGTGGTTCTGGCCCAGAGGAAGGTGGCCTTCCAGCTCGCCAAACACCTCTGGAATGGGACATTTGATTACACCTGCTGTGATGTCAACCCTCTGGACCCCGGCGGCTGCAACACACTCATACCTAGGTGAGAGTACAAGTACTCAATTTACCCTTTGTGAGGACATTGTATGTTAAATAGAATTACATAAATTCCCTTGGAGGTGACTCTGCCCTTATCTTAAAGCTAAACCTAGTGCGACATGTCCACACTTTCCAGAACTATCCCCACTCTGCTGGTTTTTATTCCCACCAACATCCCTTTATACTTTCATTGCATGTATATATTCACATACACATCCAAGAATTTATTAAACATGGCCTTAGTTTCCTTAAAGCTCTTGTTTAGCACAGACTGGCATAATGTTCTGTTTTCTCTTTTTCCTTGTGCCTGTGTGTGTTCTTTGGCCCACAGGAGGGGCCAGGGCCGCCCTGACTGGGCCATATTTGGCAGGCTGACAGAGCACAATGAGACAATCCTGTTCAAGGAGAAGTTCCTGGACTGGACTGAAGCAAAGTCGCCCACACCAAAGGAAGGCAGCGAGCTTATACCTGAGCAGAAGGTAAAAATCCTGCGTTTGTTTTATGAGGATAATCACATGTATATTAAGGTCACAGATCAGACTCTTCACATGTTTTCTCTGTTTTCCTGTTTGCTTAGTTATTGGACTGTGGCTCCCACTCAGTCTCAGTCAGTTAATGTTGCCAGGAACAGGTTGTTACACACTGGGGCCGAAACAAGAAAAACAGAGTATATGCCTTTTGGTGGACACTGTATGAAGCACAGTAGAGAAGGATGAGCACATCCATGTGCCTATTGACTCTTACCTGCAGAGAATTTTCACTCACTCATCCTCATAAATTCTGATCTTTGGCTCTTTCTCCCAGGAGGCCCCAGGGAGAGAGTGTCGGCCTTACGACGCTACCCTGATGCTACCTGTCCTCCAGTCGTCCATTTCCACCATCATGGATGGGGTAAACGTGGGCCGCGGCTACGGCCCGGTGGAGACTGAGGACCACATGAGGACTCAAGTGATCAGCACAGTGTCCGTGGATGTTTGGCACATTCTAGAGTTTGACTACAGCCGCCTCCCACGCCAGAGCATCGGCCAGTTCCACGAGGGAGACGCCTACGTGGTCAAGTGGAAGTACATGGTCAGCACATCAGGTTCGTCTGTGGACTCTGGTATGTATTAGTTGATTCAAATACCAGGTGGCTGGGATTTGCCACAGCTGGACAATCCAGACAGTGTTAGGCCACGTTCACATCACTGTAATGCTCAGTTTGGTCAGTCCAGTCTTTTGTCCAGCCTTTTTGTGTTGATGGTTCACATTCATGTTTGTAAGTGACATGTATCCAGCTCTGACAGTGAAAAGTAAGTGCAAATAGATCAAGGTCAAGGTCAAAGTGTTTATCAGTACCATAGTATCTGACCCTGGTAAATAAGAAAAAAGAATATTATTATTTTAATAGTGTTGAAATCTTTTTTTTCTCCTTGTATGTGTTGTTGATTTTGTTGTATGTGTGTTCCAGTGGGTCGTAGGCAAAATCCCGAGGCCAGGAGCACCGGACCGGGGAAAGAGAAATGCTGCTATTTCTTCTGGCAGGGCCGACACTCCACCGTCAGTGAGAAGGGGACGTCAGCGCTAATGACTGTGGAGCTTGATGAGGAGAGAGGGGCGCAGGTACAGGAGACTTCTCACCAGTCAAGGATCGAAACAGAAACTACATGTGAATCTACAAGTGTACTAAATATAGCATCTAATTGGCTTCTTGTGTAAAAACTATCATATTTTTATTATTTTTATTAGCTCTATGTGTCATTTTCATAACCAGCGTCAGCATCCGACACCAGTCCTTTTGGGTTACAGGTTCAGGTGCAGCAGGGGAAGGAGCCTCCATGTTTCCTGCAGTGCTTCATGGGGGGGATGATCATCCACGCTGGCAAGAGGGAGGAGGAGGAGGAGAACACTCAGAGTAATCACTTCAGCATTTTCTCCTTTTCCACTACTTAAAAATGTGTCCTGGTTTTAAAGCAGGCAGGCTGACATTTAAGCAGTTATTCAGTTCCTAAACTACACAGACTGTTTTTTTTTTTTTTTTACCATTTCACTAGAAATGTTTGTCTTATTAGACAGGAGACAGTGAAGAGATGACAGCAAACCAGGAAACAGAGATTAGGGATGATATGCAGCGTAGGTCCCTGGCCAGATTTCAACAGTGGATGTTGTTGTTTCATCAGAGATTAGGGATGATATGCAGCGTAGATCCCTGGCCAGTCAGTGTATAAAACCATTGCCCTTAAACAGAATAGGGTCTGAAAATAATGTCATTTTACATCTGAGCTAAAAGTGCCATTACCCAAATCTGCCCTCCTTGTTTCCTGCCTTTTTCTCAGATGTACGTACATTTTTGGCAGCAGTTCAACACTAAAAGTCATTATATGAATGTTTAGCAACTGAAGTTATTATCCCTTTTATACAACGACTGTTATATCACATATTGTGCTGTTGCAATTTGTGAAAAGGATCGATGAATATTAGTCAAGCTGCAAAAAATTCACTATGTGTTTTTTTGCATTAACTTTACAATTTGATATAAGACATAAGCTTTGGACAACCTGGGATATATATATATCATTTCCAAAATAGAAAATAATAATGTCATGGTAGTTTGAATAAAATGTTCTATTTTTTACAAAGGTTTTTGGTACGAAGGCTGCCTGTACTAAGTTAGTTGTGTTTGGATTTTTATTTTAAACTTTATGTTACCAGGGTGTTGAAATCAGCCAATGAAAAAGCAGCAAAGACACATATGTATGTTTTTTTTGGAACACTAAATGAATGAAACCCTTTCTAACTCTCTTCTTCATCTGCCCGTCCATGTCCAGGTGAGTGGCGTCTGTACTGTGTGCGAGGCGAGGTGCCAGTGGAAGGCCACCTGCTGGAGGTGGCGTGTCACTGCAGCAGCCTGCGCTCCAGAACCTCCATGATCCTGCTCAACATTAACAAGGCCATCATTTACCTGTGGCACGGCTGCAAGACGCAGCTACACACTCGCAGCGTGGGCAGCACAGCCGCACTCAGGATCAAAGAACAGTGAGTACTGAGGGTATCGTGGTGTTTGTGGTTTGCATGAATCACCAACATCACATGATCTTTTCACATGTACTGAATTTCACATGTAATGAATTTCTAGGTGTCCTCTGGAGGCAGGTCTTCACAGCAGCAGTAAGGTGACGATCCATGAGTGTGATGAGGGAGTGGAGCCTCCGGGCTTCTGGGAGGCGCTGGGGAGGAAAGACAGGAAGGCCTACGACTGCATGTTGCAAGGTACACCCAAGTACACACGTCTATAGAATTGGTACCATACAAAAACAACTATTGTTATCATACTCGAGATTGTACAAACATGTTGTTCTACAAGCACCTCAAATGCATCATTGTATTCTGTTAGCAAAATGATTTAAATCAGAAACAATGTGATCAGTAAATCTGTGCCAGTTTTGTTAGTTGCCACAACACAAATACAACACAAAAATGTTAATGTGTGACATGTTACAGTCATAGCTCAGTGCTGACTAAATGTGTTACCTGTTCACTACGGCTATTTTTCCAGATCCAGGTAAATTCAACTTCACCCCACGGCTCTTCCAGCTGAGCAGCACATCTGGAGATTTTGTGGCAACTGAGTTCTTCCACCTGTCCGGAGCTCCGGACCTGGTCAGCTCACTGCCTTTCCTGCAGGAAGACCTGTACAATGCACCACAACCTGGTGAGGGCTCCACACAAACACACACTCACACAGACTCACTCTCTGTCTTTTCAGCTGTTTTTACTCTGGAAAACTTGAGCAACCCATGAATACAAACCAGAGGCTACTGTAGTATACAGGTTTCTCACCTACAACGTTTGCACCTTAGCTTGCTGTGAACAAACTACAACTTATATTTAAAAAGTAAAACATGTCTTTTCCTTCTCAGCATTGTTCCTGGTGGATAATTTCCACGAGGTTTATCTGTGGCAGGGCTGGTGGCCTCAGGACAGCGAGAACACCGGCTCGGCTCGTATCCGCTGGGACGCAGACAGGAAGTGCGCCATGGAGACTGTGCTGCAGTACTGCAAAGGTAAGGACAGGTGATGGTCAGTACAAAAATTCTGCAGTGAATGACAGGAGACAGCAGCGCAGCACTAAAATATTTTTAAAACATAATAGAAATTGTTGCATCTGTTGAACACCCAAAAATATACCAGTGTTTAATGCTGACATTTTATTTCTATGTGTGGCCGGATGCATTATGCTTCGGGTTGTTTGTCTATCTGTCCCATTCTCGTGAATGCGAGATCTCAGGAGCACCTTGAGGGGATTTCTTCAAATTTTCCACAAACATCCAATTGGATTCACCGATGAACTGACTAGATTTTTTGGTGGTTGAAGATCAAGGCTACTGTATGTATACTGTGTGTTACTAGTTGGAGGAGGCATAAAACCGCGAAGCAGTAATTCTAGTTTAAATGTGTGAAGTTGCACGGTTTGTTTGTACTGTATCTGACAACGTCAGCTGAAGTTTTACGACCTCTAATATGCCACGAAGTATTAAATGAAAGTAATTAATGATTCTGACAGTGTTTTGACACAAAAGCAAGAGGCAGATAAAAAAAACAACGGCAAAATTGTTTGTTAAAAAAGTAACTTTTTACTATAACTAGGATGACGTTCTGCAATTTCAGTTCTTTAAACCAAGTGAAATGACATGGCGGTATTTGGTAAATGGTTGACAGTCTTATACTTGTGTAGTGCTTTTCTATGCAAGGACACACACTCAGGGTGCTTTTACACTATTAGCTCATTTACCTGCTCTGCCATCACGAGCGTTCACCAGGGGTAGCTGGGGCTCCACGTCCGGCCCAAAGACACTTCATTATGTAGACTGCAGTAGCTAGGGATCGAACTACAGGCCCGCTCCACCTCCTGAGCCACAGCCACCCCAGTGCAAACTTTAGTCCTGCCAGTAATTTCTTAAACTGAGAGCAAAATGACTGTGCTGATGTTCTCCTGCAGAGAAGAACGAGAAGAAGCCTCAGAAGTCATACCTGATCCACGCTGGTCTGGAGCCACTCACCTTCACCAACATGTTTCCCAGCTGGGAGCACAGAGAGGACGTGGCTGAGATCACAGAGAGGGTCAGCAACACACGCTTAAGACCTTGTATTGTACTGATTCACCTGCCTGTAGATTATAACTCCAGGGCCTGGACCAACCGTCTGTACATACAGTCAAACACTGTGACTGTGAATGCTGAAAAACACTCTGCAGTTTAAAGCACCTACAGTCTCTTTCCTCTCACACACATCAGGTGGAACGTAGTTGTCTAAACACCTTGACTTGTGTCACACAGGGCTTCCTTCATGCTGTGCTCTTTCTTGTGGCTGCAGGAAGCAGAGGTGTGTAACCAGATCATCCTAGTGGAGGATGTCTTGGCCCGCCTCTGTCAGAACATCTTCCCTCTGGCTCAGCTACAGGCTCGGCCGCTCCCCGAGGGAGTCGACCCGCTGCGCCTGGAGATCTATCTGTCTGATCAGGACTTTGAGGTCAGTACAGCAGCAACCAGCTGAGCAGAGCTACTTGAGAGGCAGTTTTAATGAACTCATTTGGTGCTATGTATTGGCAAATCACAGTGTTATTAAGAATGCTTCTCTCTTTTCCTCTAAATTGGCAGCCATAAATATTAGTTCCTCATCACAGGAACAGAACTGCTAATTCTTTTTAGCAGCTTTCAAACTAAAACATGAAATGTCTTCTTAGTTGAAATCAAGTTTGACACAAATAAAACAACATTTTAGAGAATAACATAATCACTGTCATTTACACTGAATGGAGTTGAAATACAATATTCAGCATTTACATTACCATCGACATCAAGAGGTAAATATTCTACCCTGGAACATTTGCAAACATCTTCACTGCATTTCTGTTCCTTTTTTGTTACATACACTACTAGTCCAAAGTTCTAGATCACCTCCATTTCTGCAGGTGTTATTAGTGTTATCCAACAGCCAAGCACACTGGTTATATTCCTTCTACAATGGAAATCAATCACTGTTATAGACAGCGCTGTTGCAGACGTTCCCACAGATGTGTTGTACTGGCAGGTCGTGTTGCTTTCAGTCTTCATCTGGAAAGTCTGGGCACTGTGCTGCCATTCCATCATCTGATTGTGGCACAGAGTCAATAATGGGTTATAGCTATGGCTCAGGAGATACAGTAGATCAGACTGGTTCCCCAGTCCACATGTTGAAGTGTCCTTGGGCGTGATGCTGAACCCCGAGTTGCCCCAGGTGGCCAGGCAGTGACTGACAGTGCCACCAACAGCAAGAATTTTTCCCATAGGGATTAATAAAGTATAATAATAATAATGGAAAAAAGCAACTGTGTTGAAATGGTTCAGTTTTGAAGCATTTGACACAGTTAGAAATGGTGACATCTGCTGGCCAAACCCCTGATACTGCATTTGTAGGGGTGTGATAGATCTGAGACCACAAAGACACAGTTAGTCAGAATACAGTGCTTTTATTGTTGATATTTTGTTCAGTAAATCTTGTATTATGACAACGGATCAAACTGTGACAGAATGTTAAGCAGCTACATATAATGTTTTCAAAACCAACACGTGTGTAATGCAACGACCCCTCTTTTGGACTGGTCATGTGATTTTTTTTTGGGTGTGGTGAAGTGAGGCATTGAAATATTGTGTTACAGTACCTCCCTGGCAGTTTACTTCTTAACTTTCTATCATATTCTTGTGCATTCTTCACTGGACTTGAACAACTTAAATGTCAGTACAAACTGGAAAAATGGGGATGTTCTAAAACTTTTGATTGGTAGTGTAGATGACTGACCAAAAATGACATGAGGATATTTCCAGAAGTTCATCAACAAAATCCTTCATCCTGCTCTGACTGTGCACACACACAAACTATGATCAAAGGCAGATTTTACTTTAAATTTTTCACCATCTCATCTATATCATCCACCCTAACCCCATCTAACTCTCACTCCACAGACCAAGTTGTAGGTGGATTCAGGTAAGAAGAGCCCCTCATGTGATTCACCTGCACTGGCAGCCTGTTCTCTCAGCACCGTGGTTTCCCTTTTCTGTCTTTTTCTTTTTAATTGTGAATTTAAACTCTGTTTCACCCCTGTGTGGTGCTGGAGGAGGAGGTTTTCTGATTGGCTACGTCTGACACGATCAGCCTGATTATGCTGTTAGACGTTATGTGTTAGCCACAGGGACAAATGATTTAGCACTTCTTCACACAGTAGTTAACTTATATAAAAAGACACATAACCCAAATTTAGATGTCATTTCTGCTTGGAGAAAAATGGATGAAATGATCAATAGAAAATCAGTAAACTATAAACTCCCATAGGAGGACAGGATTAACTTAAATGAGTCAACTCTGTTCATTTATATGTATCTTGCAACTTTCAATCACAGAGACATTTTATTTTTTAATTCCTTATTATTCTTTTCCCCCTGGCAGCAATGGGCCTTCATATCACCCTGAATAATAGCATGTGCCTAATATGAACAACTGAGGTTGTAAATACTTTGGTCAAATTAATACAGTTGTGCAGCCTCCTTCTCTTCTCCTGTTTTTCCTAAACACCTTTGACTGCACCCCCCTCCTAACACTCCTCTGATGCTGCTTCTTTTCTCTTCTCTTCACACACACACACACACACACACACACCTTCCGCCTGAGACTTCAGTTCAGATAAATCCACTTGTGAGTCACCCTCAGCTGCTCCGCCTTCGGTCTCACTCAGTTTGTGGAGCACAAAATGGAGGCACAAACACCATTTCCTTCCTTTAAAAATATATTTGAACCTAAGAACCTAATTCCCTGTGTCATTTTCTTTTTGATTTCTGAAATGCATGTCTGTTTTTTTTGTTACAGAAAGCTTTGGAAATGAAGCGAGAAGAATATGAACGTCTGCCAGGGTGGAAGCAAGTGAACTTAAAGAAGGCCAAAGGGCTGTTTTAAGGATGTTTTTATAATTGAAAATGGCATGTGAAGTGGTGAAAGGGTGGACCGCTGCAATGGAGATATAGGAAATGTCACAAAAAGCTGTTTTAGTGCTACCATGTGAGGACATGCGGGGTAGAAACAGTGTCCTGAAGGAAGTACCTGAGTCTGAAGAAAACCTACGTGAGTGATGAGACTGGAGACACACTTGCCTCGCTTATAGTCATGTTTTACTTCTCAGCTTTGTCGTCATATAACTAATTCAACAGAAGGTGGAAACACCTTGAACTGGTTCATACATGGTGTCTGTGTCTCCTCCAAGCACCAAAGTTACTGCTCGTGGACTCGTGAAAGAAACACTAGGACTCTTGGTGTCAGAGTGCCATGCTGTGGTTGTGTATGTGTGTGTGTGTGATTGTATATAATGTGTCTAGGTGCGTGTGATGTTTTTTTCTGTGCGTAGATGTTTGTGATTGTCTGTGAAAAAAAAAAAATCCTGTCACATCAAATGATGTGAGGGAAGTTGTTTTTTGTCTGGATGCTCAGGCCACATACTGTATGTAACTCATGTTGCCCGACTTGTTAAGCTGCTGACGTGACCGACTTACTGAGCTCCTGACAGCAGAGACAACAGCCGTAACTTTCAGGTTTGATTTTAACAAGAAGAGAAACAGCAGCTTGATGAATCTGAATGTATAGTGCCTTGCTTTTTGTGTACAGTTTATATACAGAAATTCTAGTCTGCATTTTTAAAGACTTTCTTTGTGATATAAGACATAGTGAATTAAATCAAAAGTAATGCTCAACCCAAACCATGCCTCTTCCTACATACATTAATAATGAAAATCATAGGACTGCATAAAAAAAATACAACCGATTTTTTTCTGACATTGTGTATAAAATATTAGAAATTTGCTCTTCACAGTTTCTCAGAGCACAGGTTATGATATTGGCTGATCTATTCATAGATTACAGACAGAAAAACAAAATCCAAGGATTAACATGAAAAAGAAAACATTTCTAACATCATACTATTGTTATATTTAAAACACAGTCCAAAACACATTCTCTCCTATAATCAGACTTTATTGATCCCTGGAAAATTCACACACTAACCAGGAGTAATTTAAATTATAAGCATATAAGGTAGTTAAAATTAGCTTCATTTGTACCAGCTGCAATGTTAAATGGAATGAACATAATGCATCAATAATTTAAAAAAAAGACGTACAATGTGTCTTTCTGCAGAATGAGTACTTTTGATACATGAAGTATATTTACGTAGATGCTGGTACTTTTACTTAGATAACACTTTGAATGCAGGACTTTCACTTGAAACTGAATTTTTACACAGTGGTACTGCTACTTTCAGCCTATTTAAGTAAATGATCTACTTCTTCCACAGCTGCCGTTGAGTCCAGTTTAACAGGTGGAAGGAAGCTGGAGTGAATATTTAGTTGGTTAATGTTACAGCTTTGTTTTCTCAGCTTTCAGCAGATATTATAATAGTCAAGCAGAAGTAGCTATCTGAAGTCCATGAACTCCATATATATATATAGGTATAGGTATAGGTATAGGTATATGATCTCTCCAGTGTGTTCTGGGTCTGCCCTGGGGTCTCCTACTAGATGGACATGCCACGAAGACCTCCAAAGGGAGGCACCCTGGAGGCATCCTGATAAAATGACTGAACCCCCCTCAGCTGAGGTGACATTCCACCTTCCTAGAGCTAGCCTACACAGCCAGGGATCAGTACGCCCAGGTACCTGACCTAGCCTGCTGCCCGACTTGCACTGCACCTGACCCAGATTCCTTTCCCTGCAGGTGGTGGCACCACAGGGTGCCCAACCGGGCCCCGTGGGCCAAGGCCTGGCAACCAGACACTCGCCAGCGAGCGCCCCTTCCAGGTGTGGCTCCAGCGGGGTGCCCCAGTTTCCCTAATCTGGGTGAGGTAGCGAGACTCGAAGTTGCCATTTTCATCAGGTTATTTTGAATTGCTCTTAGTCTGGCTCTTCCCCTAGAACCAATTTGTAATGGGAGACCCTACCAGGGGCTGATGCCCCAGACAACACAGCTCCCAGGATCACTGGGACACACATACCTCTCCACCATGTTAAGGTGGCGATTTGAGAAGAGGTATTTCTGATACCGTCTGACTTTAAAAACTACAGTAATAAAATCACCGAGACGCTGACATAACGTTATGTAAATATAATTCATGTTATGTTCCTATGTAGTATAGTTATTTGGTGAGTAGATTGTCCTTTCTTCCGAACTGAAGGTGGTAACTCTAAGCATGAGCAACATACAGTATTGTTCAAAATAATAGCAGTACAATGTGACTAATCAGAATAATCCAGGTTTTTAGTATATTTTTTATTGCTACATGGCAAACAAGTTACCAGTAGGTGCAGTAGATTCTCAGAAAACAAACAAGACCCAGCATTCATGATATGCAATCAGTGAGGTCATCAATTTTGTGAAATAACAGGTGTGAATCAGGTGGCCCCTATTTAAGGATGAAGCCAGCACTTGTTGAACATGCATTTGAAAGCCTGAGGAAAATGGGTCGTTCAAGACATTGTTCAGAAGAACAGCGTACTTTGATTAAAAAGTTGATTGGAGAGGGGAAAACCTATAAAGAGGTGCAAAAAATTATAGGCTGTTCAGCTAAAATGATCTCCAATGCCTTAAAATGGAGAGCAAAACCAGAGAGACGTGGAAGAAAACGGAAGACAACCATCAAAATGGATCGAAGAATAACCAGAATGGCAAAGGCCCAGCCAATGATCAGCTCCAGGATGATCAAAGACAGTCTGGAGTTACCTGTAAGTACTGTGACAGTTAGAAGACGTCTGTGTGAAGCTAATCTATTTTCAAGAATCCCCCGCAAAGTCCCTCTGTTAAAAAAAAGGCACGTGCAGAAGAGGTTACAATTTGCCAAAGAACACATCAACTGGCCTAAAGAGAAATGGAGGAACATTTTGTGGACTGATGAGAGTAAAATTGTTCTTTTTGGGTCCAAGGGCCACAGACAGTTTGTGAGACAACCCTCAAACTCTGAATTCAAGCCACAGTACACAGTGAAGACAGTGAAGCATGGTGGTGCAAGCATCATGATATGGGCATGTTTCTCCTACTATGGTGTTGGGCCTATTTATCGCATACCAGGGATCATGGATCAGTTTGCATATGTCAAAATACTTGAAGAGGTCATGTTGCCTTATGCTGAAGAGGACATGCCCTTGAAATGGTTGTTTCAACAAGACAATGACCCCAAACACACTAGTAAATGAGCAAAGTCTTGGTTCCAAACCAACAAAATTAATGTTATGGAGTGGCCAGCCCAATCCCCGGACCTTAATCCAATCGAGGACTTGTGGGGTGATATCAAAAATGCTGTTTCTGAAGCAAAACCAAGAAATGTAAATGAATTGTGGAATGTTGTTAAAGAATCATGGAGTGTAATAACAGCTGAAAGGTGCCACAAGTTGGTTGACTCCATGCCACACAGATGTGAAGCAGTTATAAAAAACTGTGGTCATACAACTAAATATTAGTTTAGTGATTCACAGGATTGCTAAATCCTAGAAACAAAAACGTTTGTACAAAATAGTTTTGTGTTTGTACAGTCAACGGCAGACACTGCTATTTTTTTGAACACACCCCTTTCAACTAATTGCCCAATTGCACAGCCTTAAGAGCGTGCATATCATGAATGCTGGGTCTTGTTTGCTTTCTGAGAATCTACTGCACCTACTGGTAACTTGTTTGCCATGTAGCAATAAAAAATATACTAAAAACCTGGATTATTCTGGTTAGTCACATTGTACTGCTATTATTTTGAACAATACTGTATAGAAAAACAACAAAAACATGAACAGAGTCTGGTCTAAAAGCCTGTACACTGAATAAGCTGAGACAAACTGGAACAGGGCAGAGGTAAGAGAACTTGAATACAAAGAGGACAACAAACGGCTGGGCAACAGGTGCGGAGGCAGGCAGCAACAATAGAAGACAGAGGGAAGGCGAGGCTGGATCTATAAATACAGAAACAACAACATTGGGGGTAAATTCAAGTCTTTAAACTGCAGCCAACGGTGTTTTTCATGTCTCTTATATGATCAAAAGTCGTTCTCCATCCATCCATCCATCCATCCATCCATTTTCTTCCGCTTATCCGGGGCCGGGTCGCGGGGGCAGCAGTCTAAGCAAAGATGCCCAGACCTC